CAATAAATTTGAGTAAATTAAACAATCTAATCAAAAGACAGAAACTGTCAGGCTGGATTAAAAAAAAAACAGGATGTAACTACATGCAGTCTACAGGAGAGACTCTTCTTTTTTACTTTTTTGGTTTTCACAATAGGGTGTGTGTGCTGACTAGAGAGTGAGACAGAGAAAAAAAAGGAAAGTGAGAAATCATCCCCCACTGGGGATGGCAATGCCACAATTCCTTCTCTTTCATTCTCTTGGGATTTTGGGCACACACACACACACACACACACACACACACACACACGTGCCTGGAGTGACTCTCAGGCTCCTGGGTCTGGGACTTGAACAGCAGAGCCAGCCATGTGAGATCCAGCTATCTTAACCTCCACATAACCTGCTAGCCCAGGAGAGACATTTTAAACTTAAAGACACAAATAAATGAAAAGTACAAGGAAATAAAAATATAAATGATATAAATAGCAGACACATGAAAGGTGGAGTGACTTTGTTAAGGTCAGGAAAGAGAATTTAAAGCCAAAAATGTTACTAGTAATAAAGAGGAATATTTCATAAGAATAAAAGGATCAGTCTATCAGGAAGATATAACAATTATAAATACATATGCACCCAATAACTGAGCACCAAGACACATAAAGCAACAACAGACAGAAATGAAGGGAGAAATAGATCATTCAATAATAACAGTAGCAGATGTCAATATCCCAGTATCAATAATGGCGAAACAACTGCAAAGAAAATGAACAAGGAAATAGAAGACTTGAATAACACTATAAACCAACTAGATGTAACAGATGTCTATAGAACACTCCACCCAATAGCAACAAAATATACATGCTTCTCAGTACATATAAAGCATTTTCCAGGTGAGATCATATGTTAGGCTATAAAACAAACCTCAGTAAGTTAAAAAAGACAGAAATAACACAAAGTATCATCTCCAACCAAAATAGAATGAAATTAGAAATCAAACAGAGGAAAATAATTGGGAAGCTCACAAATATGTGAAAATTAAACCAGGCCTTTTGGTATTCCTGTCTTTAACATCCTTCATGATTTTATATATATGTATTGAGAGTTTATTTTATATTAGTCTCCCTGTTTCTACTCCTAGAAAGCTCTTTGAAAGCAATAACTGATGACTTTGTTGATCGCCACTGAACCTCTAATAGTTCAAGCAGGCATATAGTAGGGATTTAGTGTGTATTTGTGAAATGAATAAATAAAGGTTGAATAAAAGACTTACGGGAGAATGGAGATTATCTATTTATTCAGTTTACAAATAGTTATTGAGCACTTATAATGTTCTAGGACCTGGGGAGATAAGAGCAAAGAAGTAAAAATTCATATCTCATGAAACTTATGTTCCAGAGGGTAAGACAGACATTAAATAAATATATTGGGTTGTCAGAAAAGTCATGATGCATTTTGCATAGAAAAAAATGACTTTTCCAACAACCCAATAATATATACATAAAATCAGCCAAGTGCTATCAAGGAAAAAAAAAAACAACCTTCAAGTTGTTATTTTAAATGAAGTGATTGGGTAAGGCCTTTTTTAAAAAAATAATTTATTATGGTAAGGTAAGACCTTTCTTTTTCTTTTTTTTTTTTGTGGGGGGAGGATTATTGCTATAGGACAGCATGTGCTTGCTGGAGAGACAGAGACAGAAAGCGAGAAATCATCTGCCAGGGAGGATGGCCACACCACAATCCGTTCTCCTCCATTCTCCTCTCGGGATTTTTGGGCACGCACGCACATATGCCCAGGGTGAGTTTTAAGCCACTGGGTCCAGAACTCAAACCAGTTGGCCATGTGGGAGTCCAGTGACATAACTATTACACCATCTGCTGGTCTCTGGGTAAGGCCTTTCTGAGATACATTTGAGCAGTCACATTAACAAACTGAGAGACTGATCCATGAAATATTTGTGGGTAGAGAATTCTAAGTAGAAGCAATCACAGATGCAAAGCCTCTGGGTCCAGTACATCCTCAATGTGCTAGGCTAGATAAACAGAAGTCTGGTGGGTGTGTAATGAAATGAGGGAAGGAGATGAAGTCAGAGAGTACAGAGGGCCATATTGGCTCTGGATTTTATTCTACATATGAAAGCAGGTCACTAGAGAGCTGGAGCAAAAGTTTGATATGATTGACTTATGCGTTAAAACAACTACTCTAGCTGTTATGTGAAGAACTAAAAGACTACAAGGAGATGAGGAGAAACCAGGACTCCAGTTAGGGGACTACCACAATTTTTTTGTTTGAGATTTTTTTGTTTGTTTGTCTTTGGTTTTTGTTTTTTTTTTTATATATATAGGGCGTGTGCATTTGCCAGAAAGACAAAGGGAGACAGAGACAGAAAGTGAGGAATCACCCCCCAGGGAGAATCCCTTCTCCTCCATTCTCCTCTTGGGATCTTGGGCATGTATGCACACTCATCGGCCTAATTTTAAGCCACCGGGTCTGGAATTTGAACCGTGGTTGACAACATGGGAGTTCAACGAGATAACCATTACGCCATCTGCTGGTCCCACTATCACAGTCCTTCAGCTGAAGAAAAAAAATGCAGTGGCTTAAACTAGGCTGGGAGCAGCAAAAGTGACAAAAGGTCATGGATTCTAAACGTATTTTAGAGGTAGGTAAATGTCCTGAGAGGTATGAGAGCGATGAGCCAAGAATTACTGTAAGAAGTTTTAGCCTGGGGTAAGTGGGTAGAATAGAGGTGCCATGTACTTATAATGGGAGTACTGGGGAGGAATGGAATCAAGGGGGTGGTGTCATGAGATTGGGTATGTTGGGACCAGCAGTTAGTGTAATGCCTATGTCGCTGGACTCCCATGTAGTCGACCGTGGTTCGAGTCCCGGACCCGGAGGCTTAAACTCATACTTGGCACGTGTGCGTGCGTGTCCAGGTTCCTGAGAGGAGAATGGAGAAGAAGGGATTATGGTGTGGTCATCCCCCCTGGGGGGTGATTTCTCGCTTTCTGTCTCTCTGTCTCTGTCTGTCTGGTGAGCGTGTGTGCCCTATGGCAAAAACCTCTCCAAAAAAAAAAAAGAATTAAAAAATTTAAAAAATGAGATTGGGTATGTTAACATTGAGATGCTGATTAGACACTCAAACGGAGATGTACAGAAGGGAGTTGGATATATACTGGGTCATCGGAAAAATCATGATGTATCATTCTGTTTTTCTATGCAAAAAAATGAGTCATGACTTTTTTGATAACCCAATAAGCCTACATTAAGAGAAAAGGTAGAATTATTTCATTTACTCCTCCAAAAACCTTATAAGGTACATATCATTCTCTCTGTTTTATAGAAGAAGAAACTAGAGGACAAATATATGACTGGAGTGAGGGTCTAAATCAATCCATTTCACTACAAAGGTAAGAGTCTATCGTGTCTTCTTACCACACACACATACTTTGTATGTCTATTCAAAGTTTAATGATGATCCGTCCCCCTTTTCACACATATCCAGTTGCATTTGTAAAGATGACTGAGCAACGACATGGTGAGGTCAATGTCATTTAAGGAGAAGTTTAAGGTGACTCAAAATCCATCAGAAAGGAGAGGCACCGCACACCATGCAGGGCCACAAGAAAGCACCTGCTTGGTCACGTGGCAGAACGAAGCAAGGGGAAGGCTACAGCCTTTCTTGGGGTTTCTACAAGAAAGGCCAGCAGGGTAGGGTAACAGTTTAGGACTGGCAGGTTTGAATAATTCCAGCAGGCTCTAGGGGCATAGGGACTATATCTGGCCTTAGGTTGGCCCAATCATAACAGGTTTCCTCTGACTCCAGATCCTCTCTAAATTAAGAACATCATAAGAAAGAAGTCAAACTTCTGTAAAAATGGCAGTGCATATACTCACAAAGACGTAGGGTCATTAAAAGCTTAACAGGTGACCAAAACAACAGGACAAATTGAATTCTGTAAAGTTGTGCTTCAAGAATTCCCTATCATTTCTAAAATTTGGAAAAAGTGAAATGATAGAGAATTCAAACAGATCAGAACTTTATCCTAAAAAGCATCCAGACCAGGTAAGCTGGAATAGTGAGAAGTACTAGGGAAAAAAAAGGAATAAGGTAAGTATGGAAAGAAAACATAGTGTACTCTGATTTGTAATAACTTGTCTTGCAACAACCCAGATAATGTTACCTTTATAACCAGATCTGAGATCTGCACTTAAAATTCTGAATAAAGACTTCCTGGCTATAGTGGCATCCAATATCACTTTGCTCAGTTGTTTTCCAGAGAACAGGAATAAGGGTTAGAGTCCACTATCCTATTTCATCTAGCTTGGAAAGACCCCAACCAACTTGGGACCTAACATTGGCTCTAAGAGTATCCTTTGTTTCACATCCAAGTTTGGCTTCCAGAAACAGTGTCATCAAGCGGGGCCCTGAAAACTGATCACACACCACTCTTCACTTAGGTAAATTTCGACTAATCACAATGTATCCAGCTCCATCTAGATACCCAGATACCCTTTTCCCGTACGCATATCCACCTCTCTCCAAAGAGCCGAACAGGAAAGGGAGCCCGAGCACCTCCAATACAAGCCTTTACCCAGCTCGGAGCACGAATTCCGCTCCCCGGCCTGAGGGCGGGCAACCCCGCTGCACACCTCCGCCTAGCTGGTCCCCTGGCGGGAGGAGATTCACCCGCCCCCAGCAGCCAGGCTGGGACACATCGGGCCGGGATGGGACACTCTCAGATCCTGACCACTCCCGGAGCAGGGAGGTGGCAGACGAGCGACGCGCAGACCACGCATTCGGACGCATAGAACTTGCCCGCCGCGGGGGAGGCCATACCTGGCTGGCAGCGCTGCTTCCCGGGGCGGCTGTCGGGGAGGCGGCGCCCAGGGCTCAGGGGTCCCGCCTGGACTCGGCCACTCTCCTGGAGCTCACCTGGAACTGCCCGCGGCTCAGCTGCAGCGGCACACCCCCACCGCCTTCTGATTGGCTGTTCGGGGCTCCTGGCAAGTTCGCTTCCGGGTGAGAGGTGGCTGGTCGCCGCAGCAACCGAGTCGCCCTGGGCGCTGTTAGTGTCGTGTCCCCTCGCAGCGGTCGAGCTGGCGGCCCCGGAGGAATCGCAGAGTAACGAAAACCTCTCCAGCGCCTCTCCGGCGGGTGCGTGCCCCTCGCCCCCCGGGCGGGCAGGGGCACCTGTAAGTGGAGCTGGCGTCGGGCCAGAGCGCAGCCCCCGTAACTCCTGTCCGGTGTGACAGATTTCCTGAGCGTCTGCACTGGAGGGTCGGTTGGGGGCGTAGAGAGCCTCGGTTGTGGGAGTCTGATTCTCCTATTAATTCGCTATTGGGACAGCTTAGGCACCGGCTTCCTCGGTAGCGCCAGACGGTCTCGGTCCCCGAGGTTCCTGGTGGCTCCGACATTGCAGAGTTCGGAGTGTGGAACCCCAGCTACTGCAGTTTTCCACCTCCGGAGGATGACAGCCGTCAGGGGGGAGAGGGCTGTCGGGGAGCGTACAGCCTGGCCCCTGTGGGATTGGGTAGTCTAAGTATCGCTACATACAAGAAAGCAGTTCTGCGACCCTGTCCCCTCGGAACTTCACATCCTGCAGACATGCAGATAACATGAGCACATATGGCATTCTCTGTGAACCTCCAAACTTCATCTTTTTTTTTTTTGGAGAGGTTTTTGCTACAGGGCGCCTACGCTCACCAGAAATACAGAGAGAGACAGAGAGACAGAAAGCGAGAAGTCAACCCCCCCCAGGGGGGATGGCCACGCTGCAATCCCTTCTCTATTCTCATCGATCTTGCGCACGCATGCACAGGCGCCGGGCGTGGTTTTAAGCCACCAGATCCGAGACTCTAACCGCGGTCGACTACATGGGAGTTCAGCGACATAGCCATTACTCTAACTGCTGGTCCCCACACTTCATCTTTTATTCATAGTGAAATCTTAGGAATTAAAGAGAAAAAATGAATAAACAAACCTAGGTTTATATTTTTCTAAGATTTAGTGTAAGTGGTGTCTATATTTAACCCCTGCACAAGATCAGAATTCTGACAAGATTGCTCTCCTTCGCACCTCTTCCATACTGATAGTGTGAGGATTTTTTAAAAAGAATTATTTTGTTTAACTTACTTATCCATTTACTTATTCACTTTTAATTTGACCAGAGAGGGACAGAGTGAGAGCAAGAGAGAGAAAGTGAGAAAGCAAGCCACCAGGTCCAGGAATTGAACTGCAGTCGACCACATGGAAGTCTAGCACTGCTAATGACTATGCCACCTGCCGTCTCCAACAGTATGAGTTTTAGTTACAGATTCTATTTTTTAAAAAGAATTATTTTTAAAATTTAACTATTTACTTATTATAATTTGACAGAGAGAGAGAGAAAATGAGAAAGCAAGCCACCAGGTCTGGGACTTGAACCACAGTCGGCCACGTGGGAGTCCAGTGCCCTTAACCACCAGGCCACCTACTGGCCCCCAGGTTCTACTTTTAAGTTATTCTTAAGAATAAATATCCTACAGTATTAAAAATAATTACTTAACATTACTTTCTCCACAATAAATATTTTGGCTAATTGCTTTACTCCTCATTTCATTTTGTTAAAAAATTATTATTTTACTTTTATTTTATGTATTTATTTTAATTCAACCAGAGAGGGACAGAGTGAGAGAGAGCAAGAGAGAGAAAGTGAGAAAGCAAGCCTCCATGTCTGGGACTCGACCCACAGTTGACCATGTGAGATTCCAGTGCCTTAACCACCATGCCACCTGCTGGCCCTCTTTTTCATTATTCTAAATTTTTTTTGTGTGTTGCTTTCTTTTTTTTCTTTCTTTTCTTTTCTTTTTTTTTTTTTTTGAGAGGTTTTCGCTATAGGGCGCATGCACTCGCCAGCCAGCCAGAGAGAGACATAGAGACAGAAAGCGAGAAACCACCCCCCAGGGGGAATGGTCACGCCGCAATCCCTTCTCCTCCATTCTCCTCTCAGGATCTTGGGCATGCACGCACACGTGCCCAGCGTGAGTTTTAAGCCACCGGGTCCGGGATGAGAACCACGGTCGACTACATGGAGTCCAGCGACATAGCCATTACGCTAACTCTTTGTGTTGCTTTCTGAGAAAGATTTTCAACCTAATCTACCAGTTCACTGTTAACTTTTCAGTTATATCCATTTTGTTGTTCAGTCCTTCTAAGTTTTATTTCACCAATTGTATTATTCATGTCCTGGATTTCTAATTGATTTTATTTAACTGTTCCTGTTTCAGCAATATTATACCTTCCCTTTCTCTGAGGATTTTATAGTATTTTAAAGTCTTCTACCTATAGTGTTACTAACTTTGTTTCCTCAGAGATGAGCCCCTTAACTGGTACCTCAATTAACTTGTAAATCGAAACTGTCAGTTCCCTTGCCCCACCCATAGAGATTATGATTCGGTAAATGTGGGGTAGGGCCTAGGAACTTACAAACATCCCAGGTGATTCTGATACATGGACCACGCTTTAACATTCTAATAGATTTTATTGTCCAGAAGTTAGAGTTTACTTATCCTTTTTACATGTAGGGGTACTTCATAAAGTTTGTGAGAACCAGCAGATGGCATAATGGTTATGTCACTGGACTCCCACATGGCCGACCAGTTTGAGTCTCGGACTCAGAGGCTTGACACTTAGGCTGGGAACATGTACATGCATGCCCAAGATCCCGAGAGGAGAATGGAAGAGAAGGGACTGCGGCATGATCATCCCCCCCCAGGCGATGATTTCTCATCTTCCATCTCTCCATCTCTCTCTGTCTCTTCAGCAACCACACATGCCCTACAGCAAAAATCTCTCTTAAAAAAATAATAAAGTTTGTGAAAGAATGGAATTGAAGCACAAAGAATTTTTTTTAAAGGAAAAGCTGGTTTATTTAGTAAAAAAGAAAGTACACTCTTAAGAGGTAGGAGTGGGCCTGAGTGGACAGAGAAACTTTCTGTTATTTTTCTTGTTTTTTAGGAAGAGATTTTTGCTATAGGGCATTGTGCACTCACCAGAGAGGCAGAAGGCAAAAAGTCACCCTCCAGGGAGGATGGCCATGCTGCAGTCCCTTCTCCATTCTCCTTTTGGGATTTTGGGCATGCACACATGTGCCTATCGTGAGTTTTATACTGCTGTATCCGGGATTCAAACCATGGTTGGCCATGTAGGAGTGCAGCAACATAACCATTACACCATCTGTTGATACCTACATTTTGTTTTATAATTAAAAAATTTTTTTTAGGTTTTTGCCATAGGCTATGTGAACTTGCTGGAGAGAAACGGAGAGGGAAAGTGAGAAATCGCCTCCCCTGGGGTGGTGGCCACGCTGCAATCTCTTCTCTTCCATTCTCCTTTAGGGATTTTGGGCATGCACACACACATGCGCAGTGTGATTCTCAAGTCTCTGGGTCAGAGACTGGAACCATGGTCAGCAATGTGGGAGTCCAGAGCCTTAACCACCATGCCACCAGCCGGTCCCCCAATTGTATACTTTTAAAAGATAAATTTTGGGACCAGCAGTTAGCGTAATGGGTATGTCACTGAACTCCCCTGTAGCTGACCACGGTTCAAGTCCCGGACCCAGTAGCTTAAATTCACGCTGGTGCATGTGCATGCGTGCCCAAGATCCCGAGAGGAGAATGGAGAAGAAGGGACTGCAGCGTGGCCATTCCCCCTGGGGGGTGATTGCTCGCTTTCTATCTCTCTGTCTCTCTCTGTCTTTCTGGTGAGCGCACACACCCTATAGCAAAAACCTCTTCCCCTTCCAAAAAAAAGATAAATTTTGTGGTTTGTGAATTATATATTAATAAAGTTGTCATAATAAACATAAAAATGGATCACCTAGTCAAAATTTTTTAGTTCCCAGGACACTATGCTAGACAGTAGAAATCTCAAGTGATCATGACATGCTTGTGATCATGTGGAGTAAGTCCATTGGATAGTGTTTAAAGCACCTTTATTGTAGATCTTATGACATTAAAAATTTACGTGACTTAATTCTTAAATCTTTTAAACAGCTTCAGAAGTGTATAAGATAAACTTTGTATTTCCAAATGGAGACAAGTATGGTAAGCATACATTTCAATTACTTTTAATATATGGAAAGTTAAAATAGCTTGAAAATTAAAAAATGAGACTGCCACATTTTTTTTTTTTTGGAGAGATTTTCACTGTAGGGCGCGTGCGCTCGCCAGACAGACAGAGAGAGACATAGAGACAGAAAGCGAGAAATCACCCCCCAGGGGGGATGGTCACGCCGCAATCCCTTCTCCTCCATTCTCCTCTCGGGATCTTGGGCACGCACGCACACGCACCCGGCATGAGTTTTTTAAGCCACCGGGTCCAGGACACGAACCGCGGGTGACTACGTGGGAGTCCAGCGACATAGCCATTACGCTAACTGCTGGTTCCCGAGACTGCCACATTTTATAGAACTACTGTTGGGATATTAATTCTATTAAATAAAACAATGTAGAAATCCTAACAGATGAACATAATTTAAATCGAAACTCCAATATTAAGTCTAGGTAGTATACCTTGGAAAGTTATGGGATCTGTTCATCTTCCTGGCTCTTGGGTTTAATGGATACAGCATATTCTAGGTCCATGAATCTCCTCACCTCTGACCTCATTGGTTTCAGTGCTTAGGAGTCAGAGACCCATACAGGTGCAGTTGTGATTGGGCCCAGATGTAAGTGTGATATTACGTAATCAAGTAGTTCCCGTTTATATTCACTACTCTTTCTCTCTCCCATCCTTTAGATGGCGACTGTACAAGAGCGTCTCCTGGAATCTATGAGAGAAATGGACTAGGTGTTCATACCACTCCTAATGGTATTGTCTACACAGGAACCTGGAAAGATGACAAGGTATTATTGTTGTTTTCAGTGGATAAATCATCCTATACTTAAAAAATTCCAGGCATTTCACCATTAATCAAAAAATACATGTAATGAATAGACTATAAAATAAAAATAAAGGATAATATTTAACGTATATTAACATATGACTAGTATGAAACTCATGCAGAGAACTAATCTTTATCATCGTCTTTCTCATTCCCTGTTCATTGAGTAAAACTAAACCCATTATATAATTTTCTCATTTAATCCCCATAACAACTTCATGAGGTAGGTATCATTAATACTCCTATTTTACAAATGAGGGAAATCTGTGTCAGATTTTTTGTCCATATAATAAGCGATAAAATAAGGATGTGGACCCAGGTCTTCTTGAATCCAAATTCACATTCTTAACAATTACTTTGTATTGTTTGCTGAGCTAACTAAACTGGTTGCTCTTTAAGATTTCTGATATATTAAAAAAAAAAAAAAGATTTCTGGTATATTAAAGTATCTTGAGGACTCCCTAGATACTCAAATGTCTTAGATTAGAAATACTTGATTTAGATAGATACATATGACAAAAGTGTCTTACTTTTATGGAAATAAAGGGTAAGAAACTTGATTAAATAGTAATTAACTTTGGGGGCAGCAGGTAGCATGGAGGTTAAGGCAACTGAATCCCACAGGTGTGTGTGTGTGTGTGTGTGTGTGTGAGCCCAAAATCCCAAGAGAGAATGGAGAAGAAGGGATTGCAGTGTGGCTGTTGTCCCTGGAAGGGGGGGGGGATCTGTGACTTCTCTCTTTCTTTTTCTCTCTCTCTTTTTCTCTCTCTCTCATGAGCACACATGCCCTATAGCAATTAAAATTTAACAACAAACAAAAACTAACTAGATGATAGATTTACGTGTGTATATTTTTGTAAGTTTCTGGGGAAATTGAAGATCAGTTTGTGAGATCGTTTCCTTGGTTATATAAACAGATGAATGGTTTTGGAAGACTTGAGCATTTTTCAGGAGCAATATATGAAGGACAATTTAAGGATAATATGTTTCATGGACTGGGGACTTACACATTCCCAACTGGGGCAAAGTATACTGGAAATTTCAATGAAAATAGGTAAGCTTAACATTTAAAAATGACTATAATTTTAAAAGATTCTCCTTAAACATGTTTGATTATTTAGTTGATGCTAAATCTTACTCTGTAATTATATGTAGTTTCCAAGAGATGTTAGGTTATTTTGTGGGGAGGGAGCTGTGGACAGTGTTATAAGAGAAACTAAGACTGTCATAAGCCACAAAAAGAGAATATAATCCTCATTGATAATCTTTTCGATTTTTCATTTATCCCCTTTACCTCTCTCTCTCTATAGAACTTTTTGCAGTCAGTTTGGAAATGGAGAGCTCATTACAATTATTGAGAAAATTTAGGCCAAAAATTACTTATTCTTGAAATATCTGATACACATTTTTTTTTTAATTTACCAGAGGGTACATGCACTTATGAGAGATAGGAAAGGTGAAAGTGAGAAAATATTCCCATGGGGAATGGTCATGCTGTAACTCCATCTCTTCCATTTTTCTCACCTTTCATGATTTTGGGCATGCATACTCATGCCTTTTTGTGTTTTTCAAGCCACAAGCTTGGGACTAGAACCATGCAGTTGGCGATGTGGGGTCGAGCTGCCTTAATCACCATGCCACAGGTTAGCCCTTGACAAACTTTTTAAAGAGCAGCATTGGAGGTAATTTTATAATTATTAATTTTATTTTGACCTGACATGTACATTTTATCTAGGCTAATTTTTAAAAAGTGAGCAAAATTAATTTATTTACAAATTGTAAAGATGTACCCACTATTGTCCCTTCTGAGCATATGCTTATAGGAAAAATGAAACTTAAATTCAGCTTTACAAACTTAATCCTCACAATGAATACCATGCTCTGCTATGCAGAGGTCCAAGTTCTTTTATAAATACCCCTGTATTATTTCCAGAATTGAAAATGTAGTATAGTTGTTATGCAGTGGTCAATGTGAATACATTTTGAGGAGGACAGAAAAGCATTTGCCTGTTTAGAATTCAAGTCTGTAATAATAACACATATACTATTTCCTTTGATGTTAATAAAACAAGGGTGAACCCTAACTTTTAGGGGCCAACTGCATGGCCTAGTGGTTGAAGAAGTCAGATCCTACATAACTAACCACGGTTTGGTCCTGGCCTCTGCAGCTTGAAAGACACATGTGCTCTCTGGTGAAAGTATAACTCCACTGGCAATTAAAAAATAAAAACAAAACATGGGACCAGCAGTTAGTGTAATGGCTATGTCGCTGGACTCCGACGTAGTCGACCGTGGTTCGAGTCCCAGACCCGGTGGCTTAAACTCATACCCGGCGCGTGTGCGTGCGGGCCCAAGATCCCGAGAGGAGAATGGAGGAGAAGGGATTGCGGTGTGGCAATCCCCCCGGGGGGTGATTTCCTCCTTTTTGTCTCTCTGTCTCTCTCTATCTGTCTGGCGAGCGCATGCACTCTATAGCAACAAAAAAAACCAAAACAAACAAAAAAGAAAAAAAAAAACACAACAGAACAACTAACCTATGGGATAAGGTTCTCTTTATGTGAAGTGCATTTTCACCACATTGAAGAGTCCAAGAAAACACCAGCGTAGACCATAGTAAAGAAGTTTTTTTGTTTTGTTTTGTTTTGTTTTTTATTTATTTATTTATTTTTGGAGAGATTTTTGCTATAGGGTGCATGCACTCGCCAGAAAGACAGAGAGACAAAGTGAGAAATCACCGCCCCTCCCAGTAGGATGGCCACACTGCAGTCTCTTCTCCTCTACTTTCCTCGGGATCTTGGGCACACACGCACGCATACCCGGCATGAGTTTAAGTCACCAGGTCTGAGACTTGAACTGTGGTTGACTACATGGGAGTCCAATGACACAGCCATTAGGCCAACTGCTGGCCCCAAGTTTTTATTGATTAAATGAATAAATTAATTAATCCATATAACCAATTAAACTTTACATTTTTTAACTTCTTGGTTTTGTGTGAATTTAACCTATGTGTAAAATCTTGGACACTGATATTTGCATAAGGACAATGATTCCTCAGAATAATACAATTTTTTTTAGGCTATTAAAGCAGGAGGCTGAGTTTTAAATCAAAGTGGAAAGTAGAAAGACATCATGCTTCAGACATATAGTAAGCTACACAATCTTATATCTGAACTGTTATTTCTTGGTCTTGGCTAATTAACAATTTTTTTTTTTTTTTACAATTTCAGAATTGAAGGTGAAGGGGAATATACTGATATCCAAGGATTAGAATGGAGTGGTACTTTTCATTTCACAGCTGCTCCAGGACTGAGACTAAAACTCCACATGTAGATGTTCTGTATTAAAGTTTAAATGTGGTAACTGAAGATTTTACCTGTAAAGAAAGCAGCTAAATCTGTCATCTGAAATGACTTCATACCCTACTTCTCTGTCAGTAAAACCATCACTTAACTTATGCCTTGTTGAACTCAATTTCATTATCTTATACTTAGTTTAAAATAAATTATGAATTTGGGGCCAGCAGATAGCATAATAGTTATGTTGCTAGACTCCCACACAGTTGACTGCAGTTCAAGTACCAGACCTGGCAGCTTAAAACTCATACCGAGTGTGGGACCAGCAGATGGCATAATGGTTATGTCACTGGACTGTTACGTAGTTGACCACATTTAAAGTCCTGTACCTTGTGGCTTGAAACTCATACCGGGCACATGTATGTGTATGCCTAAAATCCCAAGAGCAGCATGGCCATCCTCCCAGGGGGTGGTTTTTGCTTTCTGTCTCTGTCTCTCTCTCTCTGTACAGCAAGCACATGCACCCTATAGCAAAAACCTCTCTCAAAAAAAAAAACAAAAACAAAACTCACACCAGGTGTGTGTGCATGCATGAATGTTTGCCCAAAATCCTGAGAAAATGGAGAAGAAGGAATTGCGGCATGGCCATCCCCCTGGATGGTGATTTCTCACTTTCTGTCTCTCTGTCTCTATAAATGAGAAATCGCCCTCCAGGAGAGGATAACCACACGACAGTCCCTCCTCCTCCATTCTCTTAGGATTTTAGACACCCATGTATACACACCTGGCATGATTTTCAAACCTCTGAGTTCAGGACTCAAATCATGTTCGGTCATGTGGGAATCTAGTGCATTAACTACCATGCCACCTGCTACCCTTCTCCCTGTTTGTTTTTGTAAAGATTTATTTTATTTGCTATTATTCATTTTTAAAATTTTATCAGAGAGAGACACAGAGAAAGAGAGAGTGAGAAATCAATCCATCAGGTCCAAGATTCAAACCACAGTCAGCCATGTGGGAGTCCAGCACCTTAACCACCATGCTGCCTGCCAGCCTTGCCACTGTTTTTTAATTGCTAGAGGGAGTCCATGCTCACTGGAGACCAGGTGAATATACCCCAATGGGGCATGGTCACACCACAATCCTTTTTTCCTCCAATTCTCCATCCTGTTCAGACTTGGGACACACACACACACACACACACACACACACACATATATCCAATGTGTTTCTCAAGCCACTATGGCTGAGATTTAAACTTTGGCCAGCTATATGGGATCGGGTTCCTATGCTCGGCTCTTAACAACTACACTGTGGGGGCCCCCACTGACCTTTGTAAAGATTATTACGGTAAAAATACTCAATATGATATTTATCCTCTTAACATTTTAAGTGTATTATTACTGACTATAAGCACAGTGTCTACAGTACTTCTCTAGAGCTTATCTAGCTTATTTGACTGAAGTTTTATGCCCATTGATTAGTTAATTCCCAATTACCGCCTCACTGTAGCCCTCAGTAACTACTGTTCTACTCTATGAATTTGACTATTTTAGATACATGCAACATTTGTCTTCTGTGATTGTCTTATTAACTTAGCACCATGTCCTCAAGATTCATCCAAGTTGTCACATATTGCAGAATTTCCTCTTTTTTTTTAGTTTTTTGCCATAGGGCATGTGTGTTCACCAAACACAGAAAGAGACAGTGAAAGGGAAAGTAAGAAATTACCCCCCAGGGGGGAAAGCCACACTGCAGTCCCTTCTCCATTCTCCTCTTGGGATTTTGGGCATGTATGCACACCTACCTGACATCAGTCTCCAGCCACTGGGTCCAAGATTCAAACTGTAGTCAGCCACATGGGAGTCCAGCGCCTTAACCACTACACCACCTGCTGGCCCCATAGCAATGTTATTCATTGTTACGGTTTGAATGTTTTGGTTCCTCCTGAATTCATATTGAAACTGAATTTCTATTGTGGTATAAAGAGGTAGGTCCTTTAGGAGTGATTGGATGATGACAGAGCCATCATGAATGAGAGTAGTGCCCTTATAAAAGAGGTGTGAAGGCGCTTGCTCCTTTCTTCTGCCACATGAGGATGTAGCAAGAAGGCACCATATTTGAAGAAGGCAAGAAGCCATCACCAGACACTGAATCTGCCAGTACCTCGATCTTGGACTTACCAGCTTCCAGAACTGTGAGCAATACATTCTGTTGCTGATAAAATTGCCCCCCAGTTTAAGGTACAGTCATGTATTACTTAACGATAGGCATACATTCTGAGAAATGCATCATTAGGTGATTTCATCATTGTGCGAACATCACAGTGTGTCCTTGTACAAACCTATATAGTATATGCTACTACACACCTAGGTACTATACACCTACATCATTCCATATAGTTTAATCTTATGGGACCATGGCACATATGCAGTCCATCAATGACTGAAAAGTTATGGGGTGCATTACTGTATTTTGTTATAGCAGTCCATATAAACTAAGGCATTTGTAATATCTCCAAACTAGAAGCAACCCAAATGTCCATCATCCGACGAAGGGATAATGGATAAACATGTGGTATGTCCATACAATGGAATGTGTGAACATTTAGCCACAGGAAGGAATGAAGTAGTGATACTACCACAGGGATGGACTTTGAAAACCTTGTCTTAAGTGAAGGGAGCCAGTCACAAAGGGCCATATTCCACTTATGTGAAATGATTTGTATGATTCCATTCATGTGAAATGACTAGAACAGACAACTCCTTGGAGACAGAAAGTAGATTAGTGGTTGCCAGGTGAGGGAGGAATGAAGAGATAGGGGGTTTCTTTTTGGAATGGTGGAAACGCTCTAGAGTTAGATAGTGGTGATAGTTGCACAGTTTTATGAATACTAAAACCCACTCAGTGGTTCACTTTAAAGAGTCTAGTTTTGTCTGATATGTGAATTACATGTCAATTTTTTGAAAAGTAGATGATGTGTGTATCATATATCCTATACCTTTCAGATAAAATGCCTTTAAAATTGTCATAGAAGTATATGTCAGTTACATTTTAAAAACGACAATTAAGATCTGAATATTTTCTGCTGAAATTATTATTCTCAAACTGTCAAATATAGTGTATGCAGTAGGTAGCTTCTCTGTCATTTCTTAATTCAGGATCTTGTAAATATTTGTAGTTTTCAATATATTATCAAATTTTTAAAAATTTTGTGCTGTACTAACATAAATTTTGGTTCAAATGTCTTTTAAAATGTTGAAATAAGGGAACCAGCAGTTAGCGTAATGGCTATGTCACTGGACTCCCACATAGTCGACCGCGGTTCGCGTCCTGGACTCAGCGGCTTAAAACCCACGCCGGGCGCGTGTGCGTGGGTGCCCAAGATCCCGAGAGGAGAATGGAGAAGGGATTGCGATGTGGCCATCCCCTCTGGGGGGTGGTTTCTCGCTTTCTGTCTCTCTGTCTCTCTCTGTCTGGCGAGCGCACGCGCCCTATAGTGAAAAACCTCTAAAAAAAGAAAATGTTGAAATAAAAATGGTGGGTTTTTTAAGTTTTCCATCACAACAGTTTTGTATTTAAATTCAAAAGACTCTACTTGCAAGTATTCAAAGACACATTTTCAAATTTAGACATTTTTGGCAATGTTGCCTTGTATTGGCTGGTATGGTTTTAGAATTAAATACTACTGTTTTAGTACTGGAATTTGTAAGGAAATAAATACTAGCCAAGTTAAGATAAAGTGAGAGGTTGTTTCCAGGGGCCAGAATATATAATGCAAATTCAAAACTTCTGGAAAATACTGCATAGAAAAATAGCTGTTTTACTGCAAGTTTATTTTTCCCCAATATTTTTCTTCAAATTACTTATAGTAGCAAGATACATATTTTTACTCTTAAAATCTTTAACTTTTTATTGCCAAACTAATAACTTTTCAATGTGCATATTTTCAGTTTTCTAAGATACCAGAGTCATTTCCTTTTCCTCATTGAAACCAAATGCAGTTCAGGTATTTGATTAGTTGATGCTAGAATTTGACCTGGAGCTTATATAATTAGAAGAGACAGTAGCTTTCCTCATTTAAAAGCCTGGTTAGCATGACAGTCTCGTTTCAGAGGAAGTCAAACCTCTCTACTGCTTCTTTTTATAACCTTTAAGTTAATTCAGAATCCAGATAAGCCTTGATCTGAGGATGATATAGCCACAGCAAGCAACATGGGGTAAGTGTGCACTTTTGTACGCTTTGAGAGGCACTGAAGGGGAGATACTTTATAACAGAAGAAAACTCATCTGTTCTTACCATATTGTGTACTAATTTACAATCAATGTAGGCTAAGATTTATTTAAGGTAAATTAAAAGAAATAACTATTGAAAAGTTAAGATAATTTGGAAAGCATTCATTCATTTGTACCATGTCTTTATCTGTCTTTGCAGGTTGTCAGGTAATGTAATGTCTGGGGACTGAAGTTGTTCTGTCTATTTACTTACAAGGTGTTTCCAAGAGTTTATGGAAATCATGTATTATGAAAAGACTATGCGTGGATTTCGACAAATTTTTTGCACCAAAATAAACTTGTGCTCTAATTCCACTTTTCCTTAAGCTTTTTGAAATCCCCTCATAATTAGGCAAAGCACAGTTAAATTTTGAGAGCAGTCTTAAAGAAAGGACAATAGGCTTCCTGATATAGCAGGCAGTGAAAATCAGACATGCACATGCCTCTTTGGGATTAAGAATAAAGAATGAAAAAGATTTGGAATGGTGGGGAGGTTATTTGTACCTTTGTAACACAGAGAAAAGCTGGGAGAATTCTTTCAGAGTTCACTCCTTTATGTACAGAGAAAGACAGGTACTGATTGAAAATGTGTGTTAATTACACAAGGGCTTATTAGTGAAACCTAATTCTAAATACTTTGTGGGGTTTGGGGAGTGTGATGAGAAGAACTGAATTTCACTTAAAGGTTTTCTGTTTTTACTAAAGTGAGAATAGGATTCCATTATAATTATTATTGGAATTATATTAATTTTTATTCCACAACAGTAATATTCTGGATATCTAGGAATCTGTCTTTGTAACACCCTTTTATCTTTTTAATATCTTCTGTCAGTATAAAATCATATTGCTGTAAAAGGTACAACTATTTGATTGAAGATTATTTCTG